GAGGGACTGTATGACGAATCTCCTCTGGCTCATTGAGAATTCATGAGCAGTCGCTTTCCGCCAATTTCTTATTAGAGTTGTAATTTCTTTGATGTAACAAATAACCTATTACTTGATTCACGGTGATACCATTGCTTTCAGTGAACTCATCTAGTTGATCATTTGACTCCGTCAGTTTTCTTCTTTTCTGTCTAACTCCGACTTCACTAAAATCTTTCGTTGATCCTTTAGGTGGCTTAGGACGTTGTTTCAGATCTATTAGTTCAAGAATAGTTTTTGAAAACTCAGTTTTCTTGTCTTTTTTACGCCATGAGTCAAACTTAGAATTCCTGACGATATGGTTATCGATAGCGGCAGAGATTAGTTTCTTATTCTCCTCATTTTCATCAACACTTAAGATATTACAAACTGTAGAAACGACTTTGTCGTTATCCTTGCTACAATTCTGATAAATTCCGTAACAGTCATTTAACGTTAGATTAACAGGCTTTTCAACCATCATTTCTTCAGGTTGAGTTGATCTGCACTCTTCAGTCCGATCCGTTGGGGTGGGCGACGCCCCGATTTTGTTTGATGAGATCGTACTCAATTCCGCCATGGCGTATTCTCAAGCGGTGAAAGCCATTACCCTGGGTGAAGACCCATCAGACAACTTACCTTGTTAAATCGGTTGCCCTTTCGATAGTCTCCACTACCCACTGAACTGTGCCAAGGAATCCCGGCCGCTTCATCACTGAGAAATTATATGATCTTCAGAGCACTTAGACGATAGGACCAAGAGGGAATTACGCGTGTTCCAGAAGACCTGTCTGATTAAGTCCCTAATACCTAAGCCTCTGCTAACCATATCCGGTAACACATCAGACCCTCTTTGACGGCTTCGGCCGTCCTCGAGCGCCTGCTCTACCCTCCTAGCCGTTTCGAGCTCGACGGGGAGCTCCGGAAGCATCCACTTAAGCAGCAATCCTTGAGTGTGGCCTCGGAAGTACGGAAAGCGACTGCTCATGAATTCTCAATGAGCCAGAGGAGATTCGTCATACAGTCCCTCAATGACACCTACTGGACTTCCGTCACAACTGTACCATCATCCAAGAACTAACTGCGGCAAAATCCGTAATCCATGTCGGTTCCTTATCCAAATACTAAACGTGTCTACTATTTAAAAAGCCATAGACGCAGTTCTTTTCGGGATTGAAGTTGGTTCAGCTCGTGTCTGAAAAGAGTAGTTAACTTACTTCTAAAGGAGATGATGAAATACATGGATACAAACTGTTGGCTGTTGATTCTAATGTTGTTGTCTTGAGTTTGGAGATAAAAAGAAAGACTTATTTTTGTTTAAGATCTTCATTTAAATCAAACGTGATCTTTTAAAGTTTTCTTTTCTAACTCTTACCTGTTGTAATTCTTCTGGTTTACTGTTAAGAGGGTCATCAACTGCATTTGGAGATAAAAACTAAAATTGATTTTGTTGATTTAACTTAGAAACAAAAGTTAGACATTTTTATTCTGTATGAACCCAACAGCATTCTAACAAGAATCTACTTCCGGTTATATGACGAATAGAGAATTTTTGATTTAAATTTACTTTAGTTTCTTGTTCTTCTCTGGTTATTTCTCGCAGTGCTGAAACAATTGATGTGTTTTTTGCCTTTAAAAAATACAAAAGAAATATACGACTTGGATAAAAAGTTATAAAATGTCATTTTATATACGGGTTTTTCGGTTTTGAATGCCCAAAATTGATATGATCCATCATTATTTGATGATGCTGGTTGATAACTGTAACCAAACGTACGATCATCTTTTGGATCAACGACAATATTTACTATACGATCAGCATCATGTGTTATGTTTGTAACCTACACATTTAGCATAAAGACAAATGACAAAAACGAGCAAGCAAGCAGTGAAAGAAAAAAAAATTACAAATAAATTACATTGTTAGTTCCATATGATAAATTTACACAATCTGCATTTAAATTTATTACAATTTTTTGCTTGCTTTTATCTCGTTTTGCCATTGCATTTAATGAAAATAACATTTTTTGAAGGTGGTTCTCATCAGTAACGTCTCGAACACCTTCTTCTGTACCTATTTTTGAACAAAAACGAATCGTATTTAGTGCAAGAAATAAATAGATCTTCGAGTAAAATAATTTAATCATACCAATTAAGTAGCCTTTAAAATTTGATTGGCCTTCATGGCTCGACAGACCTTTTGAGTCTTCTAAAAAGAACCAGGAAAAAAATGAAAATTGGAGTTTTCCTTTTTTTTGAAGTACATAGATATGGTTGTTGTATTTGATTACGGTGTGCGCAGAGAAATGCTTTGGCTTTTGCAAACAGGATGTCTATTGATTTCTTTTTAAAACATTTTTCCTAATTCGAAGAGTTCTTCTCATGAACAATCGCTTTTAAAATAGTTTCTAATCATAGTGCTATAGTAGTCAGTCTTTTATATACCTTTTCGTTTCCATATTCTTTTCATTGTATTTAATGATCCGTTATTTTTGTGAAAGTAATATTACTTTTGAAATAGCAAAAAAAGCTTTCTTCAAATATTATATTTACACTTGCGGTAATTATCAAAAATGTCAATAGAGAAAAAAGATAACACACAACTTATCATTGCGTTTCTCCTTCTAATACTATTACTCATCGAATGAGAAACGTTTTTAAGGGTACCCACGCCCTCTTTTTTCACTTTGTTGCCAAATGCGGAGCACACGAGAGATAGATATTTTGAAAACAAAGAGAGAGTGATTACGAATACCTGGAAAAGATAGTACGAACACACAGAGATAAATTTATATAATACACAAAGTGAACCCACACAGAACGAAAGATACTTCACATACCTAGACAAATGAATGATCCCGAACACAGTAATACTATGATCTAACCGAAAATGGAACATCACAAATCTAAAACTAATTATTAGGTATGTTACAAACCCAAACCCAACCAAAGACTTGGGTATTGGGTTTGGGGTACCCAAGTCTATACATCCAAGTAGCTTGGGTTTGGGTTTGTAACATACCTATTCTTCGTGTCTTGTAAAACACGCTTGTTCACTACTTTAAACTCTTCTCCCTCAGTTTTTGAGCTAAAATTCCGTGGTTGGTCTTAAAGGAAAGAAAAGTCGGTTTCGCATCGATGTATCTTTTAGATTTCTCAATTTCGATTTCCTAACTGGAGTCATGAAATTTTTAAGTTTTGTAAAAGTATACATGGCAATACGGCTGATCAACCCTTTGTTGTTTTGCAAAACAAAGTGGGTTGTAAGTAATTACAGCAACACAGGATATAATAACAAAAACGTGGAAAAACTTGCGAATTAACTCCAACATTTTGCTAGAATTATTGAGCATTGACGCAACGCTGTAGTTCTGATCCCAGTGTGTGAAAAGGTCGCATCGTCGGTAATGATTACTGGATGACAGCTGATCCACTCTGCTCGATTCGGAATGCTTACGTTTGTTCTAGAATATGTGCTTGACTCAGCAGTAACAGGGAACTGGTCTCCTCGTCCTTTCGTCCACGTATTGTTTATATCTCCTAACAGGGTGTCTTCGAAGGTTTCTATCCACATTTAATGAAACTTGGGGCGAAAGTTGCAGGCGGAAGGTACATGTGTGAAATGGATTAGCATTTCTTGTTTCGGATCTATGTTTTGTTTTGCTTTTTCTCTCATGCCCAATGCTGGGTCTTGTACTTTTGTGCAGCATTCATCGTATTTCGTTTGAGGTCTAGTCCAAGCAAAACCTCCCAAGCAAAAATATCTAGATGCATTCGCTAGTGCATCTAGCGATACCCCTGCAAGAGCATCTAGCTAAATGAGTAAAAAGAATCTAGTTATCTAAATGCATCTACTAAAAGCGATGCACTAGATGCAAGAGGCGATGCATCGCCTATCAATATATGACTACTATCCACGCACAGTGGTTTACTTAATCGATATTTGTCATATCCTAATGCGAATATAAATGAAATTTAGCTCTACGAAAACGAAAAGAAAGACATTTTTTCCCGGACATCTAAACAGTGTTGCTCATGTGAATAGACATGAATTACTTTTTCAATTTTTGTGTATTTGTTTCGTTGTCACTTCGATATTCCCTTGACGTTAGTCTAGGGTCTTACAAAATGGTTGTCTGTCTGAGTGTCTATGTGTGCGCAAAATAAGGAAAAATGGCTGTCAGATATTCTATGGATAAGCCAACCGTGAGCGAGAAACATAAAAAAATTTCTTTTTAACTACGACAGAGAAAATATTCGAAGCCCCATATATCGAAAAGCCCGGTAAAAAGTAAGGTTTTCGTAGCACGTTAGAAAGACATAAATTAAAAAAGACAGGGCTTTCGTAAAGATAATGCAGAGGGATTAACGTCTAAGTAGATGCTATGATAGGGCTTCCGTAACACTCTTTAACGGGGCTTTCAGCATTGAAAAGACGCAATTTAGCATTTTGTGATGCGATTGTTCAAAAAATTGTTAAAAGTTTAACATCAAACATTGAATATTCAAAAATTGGTGGTAACTTATATTGGTAGTAGTTATATTAATTCGATCAGTTTTTTAATCGCACAGGAACAGTTCAGTTCAGAAATTATACACCATACATCGAAAGAATGTACCGCTGAATTAGCATAAACAGTATTGGAGACTCTGATAGTTAAAATCACTCATGGGAACTGAGAGTGTATGTTGGATCGTGATTCGGTAGCTCAGTGGTTAGAGCGTCTGGTCTGTGACCAGAGGATCCTGGATTTGATTCCCGATCGAGGCATACGTTTCCTTTTCAGATGCTGCTCTATCGAATTATGTCTCACTTCTACACTAGAGGATAACTCTATAAATTTTAGAATTTACGGTATCTTTTTTTAGTATTTATTTCACAGTTTATGCCCAGAAAAAAGGGTCTTTACTAAAATGACTTTTCTGTTTAGACGATGAATATTTGTTCTGCAAGTATCATCGAATTTCTCACTTTAGCTCTAACGCTCGACTTAACACTCAATTAGACTCACAGCTCATTCCTATGCCTGTAATACCTATTTCGATTACTTTTCATAGTTCCTAACTTAATTTGTTTAAAACTGCGCCCATTGATCAGCCCCAGAATCGGCGATGGTGGTCTGTATTTATTTTTTCTAATCCAAACGGTAGGCCTCTCCTTGGCACTGCCAAGAATCGAGCAAATTGTCCAATTGCCGAATACCTTTAGTTTAAGTTTATCGAGTAATTGTTCAAAAGTTAGAAAATGTATTCATGACATAATTCGATAGACCAACATCTGAAAAGAAAACGTATGCCTCGATCGGGAATCAAATCCAGGATCCTCTGGTAACAGACCAGACGCTCTAATCACTGAGCTACCGAATCACGATCCAACATACACTCTCAGTTCCCATGAGTGATTTTAACTATCAGAGTCTCCAATACTGTTTATGCTAACTCAGCGGCACATTCTTTTGATGTATGGTGTATAATTTCTGAACTGAATATCCACACGTTCTGAAAATTTCTTCCCACCATTATTCTGTTGGCGTTTAAAATCTTAATGGTTTTGTGTACACGACGATTTCATATTACTGATTCATTCTCTGTGTATTTAACCATCGGCCCAGTGGACCAAGAGTAGCTATTGCATCGAATAATCCTCCTTTATAATATATTTCTTGATTATCTTCTATTTCTGTTACACCACTATGATCATGACTGGGCATTTCTGCTATAGTTAATAAGTGATCATGCACGGTAATCATTGGTGTAACTGTTGATTGTCCACCAGTAGAACCGTAAATACTTTTAGCACCTAGGCCTATTGTAAAGAGAACTTGAAAAAATTGGCTTTATCTTACAAAACAAAAATTCACCTGAACCAAGAACAAAATTGTGTCGTAAATCCAATGTATCGTGTTTCCCATCGCATACAGCCCAGCCGCTGGAAACTGTCTCAGGACTGCCATTTATAGAGTCAACGATTGACATGATTTGAAAGCAATTTAGGAGTTATGTAAATTGACATTACCAGAGTATGATTGATTTTTTCGGTACAGTAAGCATAAACTCATGCACAGATGATACCGATATCTACGTCATGTCAGAGTCAAATTATATAGATCGTACAAACTTCTGTAATGTAGAGCGTACTACTATAGCCAAGAAGAATATGACAATAAGCTAGAAGAACGAAATACCTTTATAAAGTATTCAAACAACAAGTAACGTCAACCGAGGCGATTCACTTGGTCCCTTGAATGTTGACAGACAAAGTCTGCTACGAGGGTGTAAGTTGCCTTTTGTAATAGTTTAAGCTGCGAGAAGTTAATGCCAAGCGACACTGACGCGATATAGAAAAAAACTTTTCAATACAAAAGCATCTGTTATACCGTCAAAAAAAGATGCAGGTGGTTGTTTTTCGAATAACGTAAAAATGGTAACCAGAGACTTGCGGTTTGAGCAATCAAAATCAGACAGTTTCAGCTATATTTCTACTAGCAAACCTGGCATCCGAAAACACTTCATAGATCGATTTTCTAGGGGATATATGCATAACCAGCCTGGATCTCTGGAAAATGACATAGCAGATCATCGACCTTTTTGCATATATATATAGTTTAAAGTGTTCTTTACAAAATAAGATCTAAGCGACACAAAATATCCTTTCTCGGGCGGTTTTTTAGGGAAAAAACCGTTCTCTGCCTTAGAGTCAAGAAACTGAACCGCCCCTTGTTTTGGCGTAAACACACCTTAGTCATCTTAGACAGTTTCTATTTTGTTTCAATACAATTCTTAAACAAATTAGCATTATGGTGTGATAAAATTGTACTGAGTGTGTGATTCTCAATATTTAGTTGTTACGTACCTTCATTAATATAGTCAAAAAAAGGGAGTAGCAAATTTTTCTCAGAAAATGGTCTTTTATTGTTATTGTTACTATTCTATCATCGATTATCATTAATAAGTGTGTACTACACAGTGCAACATTTTTCAAGTCATCGAAAGCAAACAGAAAACCACCTTCAAAACTTGAAAGTACTAGGTGAGATATGACAAACCCCATTTTGTTTTGGCTAGGTGTGGGGCAGATTTTTTTTTTT